CTGAGTTCAGGTCGCAAGAAGATTTGTGACCTGTTTGTTTTTCAGTTGGTGCCTCTCGTCAAGGCCAGGAGTTTGAGCGGAGAGCAGCTGGGTTGTGTTGAGGGTGCTGGCCGGTGGCAGTCTCCCTGCTGGCGCGGATTTTACGGAGAGATTTGACTTCTTCTGTAACTCTGGCGCCATGGCCTCATCATCTTCCTCCCTGGGCCAAATTTTATGGCAATTTCGCTTGCTGATGTGGAAGCACTTTGTTATCCAGGTTAGGAATTGATAGGATTATACAACTCAAGATCATAGGATGTTGATGGAACTGACCGGACTTTTTCACGGTCGAATATGGCTTTCGTGGGTGTCCAAACACTTCTCGAACTTTTTCGCATGCTGTTGTTTCAATTTACTGCAAATTTTGTAGAACATTCCGATTTGAACAGCTGTGTAAGAGAAGGGCGCATGACGCCACGCACAAGCTGATAGCTATCCATGCCGTGCCTGTGGTCGTGGACAGGACATAGTATTAGTATGATACTTGTCACTGCCAATCGTCTGCTTCGTGATAGCTGGCGTGCTGTTCACAGAGTGGCCAAAGTGGTTTGTTGAATACACCACAAAGTTCCCAACACGAAGTATGAACGACGTTACGTTCTGTTCAGTGTCATTCACTAAGACAATATAGAGTCGACTGTGATCAGAGGTTGGATTGCAGTCACAGTGGGACGCCATGTTGGTTACGTTGTGCTGTGCTTTGGCGTTTAGAAGAATTGTACAGGATTATTGGCTGTAGAATATAGGTAGTGATTCCGCTGCTGGGCTTGAACCGGTTCGGGGCACAGCTGTGTATGGTGTGTGCTGATCACAGCATGATACAGCATATGCGTGTGATGAGCGGGCCTAGAAGGAAGTTACCTGCATGACAGGCTGTGCCTTGTGGTTCATGTTCCTCGGTTAGGAGAATGCTTGATTTATACGGATCCCCGGACAATCTGGTACACCCCAGGATTCTAACAAATGGGTTAGGGGGAGGGGGGGGGGGGGTGCAGCCCCTACTCTGATGGTGCACCCCTGTGAAAGAGTGCTGTCCTAACTCATTTTTTTCTTCGATTGTTGTGTTTTTGTGTCAGTTCACACAACGAAGACGCGGCCACAAATCGATTGTACCGGGTGTGCGCTGCGCTGCGCCCATGCGTTGCATTTCGTGTGACAAGGCAATCTTGGAAAATGGGCTGTTTTGTTTCCCCTGCTCCCCTACTACTTTTCCTGGATACTTCAATAGTAAAACCCTGCACTCGGTTACAAATTGTCTTGCTTTCAATTGGACAGGGTGTGGGCTACACACATGATTAGACCAAACAGATATTGAGGTGTGAATGATCTATGCAACTACATGGCTAGCAACCATGGGTACTGTCCATTGCTACATATGCCAGCTTTTCGCATAGTCATCATGGCATTGTCCACCCCACTTTCCTTCATGTGCCTTCACTTTCCTTCTCTTCTGTGTGTCATTTTTCTCAGAAACGATTGAAGGGTAAGAACATTGCCTTGATATTCTTGCCGATTGTGGCACCCGTCTTCTTCGCTATATTCCGTCTTCCGCTGCCGATTGCTGACCTGTGCTTCCGTAAGTATCATTCAAGCAGTGTTGTGATTGGTGGCTGTGCATGCTCTTTGCCCCAAAAGCAACTGCTTGTATTATTCCAGAGGTATTTTAAGAAAGTCAGTCCTCTGTGCTTGTCAACTTCACTAATGCGAATGCTGGCTGAGCTTTCTTGTATAAGTATCATTCAAGCAGTGTTGTGATTGATGGCTGTGCATGCTCTTTGCCCCAAAAGCAACTGCTTGTATTATTCCAGAGGTATTTTAAGAAAGTCAGTCCTCTGTGCTTGTCAACTTCACTAATGTAAATGCTGGCTGAGCTTTCTTGTACTATGTAGTGGTTTCCAGCCACTTAAGAACTTGCCACAGCATAGTGTATAGTGCATGTATACATGAAGGGCTCCAATTCAAAACGCGATAAAGACCAAAACCGGAGCTTTAGCGTCTTTTGTCACGAAAGAAATCGTTTTCACCCCACGGATGTCTGTGTGTCCATTTTATGGCTCACAACGCGATACATCCCAGTCAAAATGATGCCTGAAGTTTGTGTTCTTCTGCAAAACGCGGTAAAAGTCATTAGACCGAAAAAAGAACAAATGAAAAATGCACTTCCTGAAATTTCCACAAATGGATTTATCTCGTTTCGAATTGGAGCCCTTTACATGTACATGTAGCTGCGGGTAGACCTCCACAACTGCTCATCCTGTACTGTGTGACTATACTGTGTGCGAACTTCCATGCATTGAGCACTGCAATGCTGCTAGACTGCACACGTGTTGCACATGTAGTGATGAATGATCCGAAAGCGATGCAACGACCATCTCTCTCCCTCTCTCATTCTCTCTCTCTCTCTCTCTCCCCCCCCCCCCCACTCTCTCTCTATCTCTATCCCACTAACTCTCTCTCTCTCTTCCTTCCTCCCTCCCTCGTTCTCTCCCTCCCTCCTTCCCTCTTTCCCTCCCTCCTTCCCTCCCTCCTTCCCTCCTTCCCTCCCTCCTTCCCTCCCTCCCGTTTTCCCTCCCTCCCTCCTTCCCCCCTCCTTTCCTCCCTCCCTCCTCTCCTCCCTCCTTTCCTCCCTCCTTCCCTCCTTCCCTCCCTGCTTCCCTCCCTCTTTCCCTCCCTCCTTCCCTCCCTCCTTCCCTCCCTCTTTCCCTCCCTCTTTCCCTCCTTCCTTCCCTCCCTCCTTCCCTCCCTCCTTCCCTCTCTCTCTCTCTCTCTCTCTCTCTCTCTCTCTCTCTCTCTCTCTCTCTCTCTCTCTCTCTCTCTCTCTCTCTCTCTCTCTCTCTCTCTCTCTCTCTCTCTCTCTCTCTCTCTCTCTCTCTCTCTCTCTCTCTCTCTCTCTCTCTCTCTCTCTCTCTCTCTCTCTCTCTCTCTCTCTCTCTCTCTCTCTCTCTCTCTCTCGATCTCCACTCTCCACTCTCCCTACCTGCTTCCTTAGCTCCCTCGTATCAGTTCCCCTGGACTGGTGCACAGCGTTGAGCATGGTATTGAGCATTCCTACCTTGTTTCTGTGATTGCACTTGCCATGTCTGCAGAGTCATGTCCTGATGCTAGCGCCCCACAACGTGTCAACTTCACCAACACTCAGCATGTTGCCTTCTACCCAGATTCGCCACTCAGTAAGATAACCTTAGGGTAAAAACTAATTGTGTATGCACGCCGGAACAATCCCGGACGTGATTCCAGTGGTGATTATCGGATCGCCCGTTTATCCAGAATGGATTTCATAGCACACACGTATGTAAAGTCACATGCAGAAACATGCCATGTTCAGGTTACTTGTGGCACGTAGGAAACAGACCATGTTTGCTATAGCCTCTATTGTGTGTCCAAGCACTCTGAAGCACTCTTGCCACAGTGAAACTGAGTTTGCACTGGCCAGACTGGAATTTCGTACAGTCACCTTCGCTAATAATGACTGCGGATATAACGACAATTCGGGAATAACGACAGAATTTCCATGCCCTGAGCAAAGTCCCATCCAACTGTAGTACATACAATGAGACTTCGGGTATAAAGACACTTCGCTAATAAGGACACTTTTCTGATGCCCCACCAAGTGTCGTTATAAGCGAAGTTGACTGTATGTCTACTAAGGCAACTAAGGGGAGCAGATAAGAACCAACCTCACTAGGTTGAGCTCACTGAAACGAGTGTCTCCGACGCCGCCTGCCCCCTATGGTCACAGTAATGACTATAGGATACCTTTACCTTCGCCGTTACTGTGTAAACTGCTTTGCACGAGTCCCTGGTAATGGTATGAGACATCAGTAGTAGCTGCATTACGGCCGAATGCAGTATTACGTATTTCCTCGTATGTAGGAAAGTTATTCGGCCCATTCCAAAGATCATTGCAGATCTGAACCGTTTTTTCCTTCAGGCTTTCAGTGTACTTAACTTTTTTTTCTTCAGGCTTGCAGTGTGCTTGTGGACAGTTTCCCTCAAATCCTTAAAAACAAACACCTGCACTTGCATTGTTCTAGCTGCAGTTGTTTAGGCATGACACTGCTGTTATCATAGACCTGATCCTGGCCACAGTGTCCTGGGTACGAGCGTACGCACTCTCCCTGGAAATTTGAATTTTTGATTTTCACAGAAACAATTTTTCGCTGACACGGGTCACATTCTTGCGTTTCTAGGACTGTTCTACGCATGAAAGAAGAACAAGAACCACATACAGTGAGTGACTACAACATGATAGACCACACCAGAAAATTTGAAGACGATCGGTGAAGGTTGAGCTGAGTTCTGACACGATCTGTTGAAACAACTTCATGTCGCTCGTCATCACGATTGAGTAGCATCTCCGTTCTTGATAGACCCTTCCCTTCGTGTTCCAGAAGTTATTTTTCATGTTTGGTGAGTTTCTCGTCGGACCTCAGGTCTTTCTCGATCGATTGCCACCTCACTCGATCCGAACGAAACCTAAACTACCGAAACGAAGCCTGCGCTTTTTTGGCTGTTTTTCCGTTTTTACGTGTAGATCTATAGAATGGATCGTCATGTTCGATTACTGGGTCTTTTGTGTCGCGTCGGCGGTGTTCCGCTAGCCAAGCAGAAGCAGAAAACTACGTATTCTGTTTCTGAGAATGCCGAGGGTATTCTGAAATGTTTTGAAGTGGATATCACACAGGACCAACCACACGTGCACCCTACACAGATTTGCAGTACATGCTACAAGGCTGTGAATTATGCTTTGAGCAAGTCAGAGTATACACGTTGTGGTGGAGGATGTGCCGAGCCAAGTAGCTGGCTTCCCCATGATCATGTGCATGAGGATGGTACCACAGTATGCAGGGTATGCACTACCATTGAGCAAGCCGCCAAAGGTGGTCATCCGGCTAAGAAAAAGAGAACAACAAAGCCACCTGCCCGTACAGCGGCAGCCGTTACATCCACGTGCACGTCTACGCACACAGGCACCCACCAGACACGGTCTCAGACAACAGGGATCAACTCGGAGAGTCAGAGTACATGTTTACAGAAATTGTATGATGCAGCAACACCAAGCTATGCAGCCAACAAGAGTCTGAGCACAGATAGATTCATCGGATGCCAAGCTATATTACAATGTACACTATGCAGCAATGTGCTAGAGAGAGCCGTGGAAGCAGACTGCTGTAGAAAGAGCTTTTGTTCCGCATGTGTGTGGGAGTGGCTGGCTTCTGATACAACATGCCCTGGTTGCAATGCACAGCTCTCCGTGTCGAATCTCAGCACGCCCAATCCGATCTTGCAAGGCTGCCTTGCCGAACTAGTGGTCAGGTGCGACAATTATGCTGGAGCGCTGATTGGTTGCCCGGCAACAGTGCCACTTGCTCAACTTGCCAGCCATGTGCAGAACTGCGAGAACACTGGTAAGCAAACAGTCGGCCCGTCCACCGCTGTCAGCGATGTGCTCACTGCTTCGCCGTCAAAGCTCCGAGGCAACGTGTCAGACAGTCTCACCAGCCATCTAGTGAAGGTTAAGGCGGATGCTGGCGTACTTCAGTTGAGGAGCCGAGGTCCATCGCAGACATGGCAACGAACAACAGTTGCAGCTGTACCGTCCAACAATGCATCAGCCAGGACTGTGCGGCGACGCTGTGCTGAGCTTGAAAAAACCAGCCAGCGCGTAGCAGGGAGTTTCGCCGGTGCAGTTGTCCAGCAAGCTGCCACATTAAGCCGGCTAAAGGAGGAAGAGCGTAAAGCTGTTCTTATTGAGGCTGGTGTCATGCCAAAAACACCTGGGACAGGCACAACGCTAGCATTGAAAGCCAACCTACACATGCCATGGAATCAGCTCCGGAAATTGAAAGTATGGCTGAAGGACTTTGGCCTGTATCTCGAGTCAGAGCGGGTAATGCGGAAACAGCTCGACGATCTTTTGCCCTTTACCATTGTGGCAGAAAAGACACCGTTCGTAGCAGCATCTGGAAGCGTCGAGCTGCATGCAATGGTGACAATTCCTGATCTTGTTGGGACTGTCCATCACTACTTGAACCAGCTGGAGGCAACAGATCAGCTTCACTGGCATGATGGCGCAATCCCAAAAGATGAGGTATGGGTCAAAATCGGCGGCGATCACGGTGGCGAGTCCTTCAAGATGTCGTTCCAGATCGTTAATGTGCAGCAGTGCAATGCTCTACGGCACATCATTCCGTTTATCATCTTTGCTGCTAAAGATACGGCAGCAAATCTGTGCACGGCCCTGCAGCCATTCGTCAGTGAGGTCGAGAAGCTGGCCAGTACAACGTGGCGTAACAGGTCAGTGAGGGTCTTGTTGTTCGGAGATTACGAACTGCAGACCACGTTGTACGGCTTGTCAGGGTCGAGTGGAACCCACCCTTGCCTGCACTGCACTGCTATGCGGAAAGAGATACAGCTACCTGGGTGTAGCGGAGCACCGCGCAGTCTCGATTTGTTGTGCACAGACAACGCTGCCTTTGTTGGAGCTGGTGCAAAATTAGCGGACGCTAAGAAGCACAACAACTGCATCCGGCCACCGATCTTGCCTGTGTCCCTGGACAATGTGATTATTCCCGTTCTTCATTTGGATCTGGGAATATTCGCTTGGATATTCGATGCCATGACCAAGGACTGCCAGATGCTGGACGTTGCCCTTGCATCATCCAGTACAGCAGTTGGCACCGATAGCCGAGCGTACACTGTCACAACAGAGATGCACGAGAGCCTTCGCCAGAAGCAATTGGATCTTCAGAACGAGCGCACAGCAGCTGACAGTCTACAGGAGCAGCTCGAATGGCTTGCGATCCATGCTTCCAACCTGACTGCCCCACAGCTTGAAGCGGCCACAGCAGGAATTCAGGCGAAGCAGCACACCACCACAAGCGCCATCAGCTCTCTCCAGGATGAAGTGAAGGCTCTGTCTGACCAGCTCCAGAGCCGCAGTATTCTGCATGGTCCATGTGAGGCCTCACTGGACAGAACTCTGCAGGAGTACAATATTTGTCGCCAGCGGTACCATGGTGGTGCCTTTATCGGCAATCATATTCACCATGCCCTGCAGCCACCAGTGGTTGCTGCTTTGTCAAATGCGCCTCTGATTGTCGCCTCCACCACAGAGAGAGCAGCGCCTCCATCCGTTCTCGACCAGGCCAGAGTAGTGGCAAAGCGGTATAATGACCTGCTCACTCAGTTCTCTCACTGCCGCCGAAGATACTCGTCCTGCGCAACAATGTCAGCAGAAGATATTCAGCTGTTCGAGAGTGATTGCGCTACCTTCCTCTCCACAGCACGGCAAGAGGTCGTCACCAGAAAACTTGGCCATGTAACGCCTAAGCTTCATTTGCTGGAATGCCATCTGCCTGACGCCTTGGCAAGATTCAGAGTTGGCCTGGGCCTACTAGCTGAGCAGGGAGGTGAAAGTATTCACGCCGAGTTCAACGACCTTCGCAAGCGACACGGAGGCGTCGTGAACGATGTCGACAAGCTACGGACTGTCTTGAAGGCTCACCTTTCCTCCACGCTTCCTCAGCACGCCAAACTTGTCCCTCAAAGGGCCAAGCGCAAGCGGAAGGCCAATTGAGGACCGTTTCAGGTAAGTTCCTTGCTCAAACGATATCCCAAACATGTTGTTTGTTAGTTGATTTTCAAATAAATTTAATTTTTGTTTGCGTACGCGTGCACACGCGCCATGTGTATTACTATGGAAACTCGAAGAGTTTTTGCACGTGACGTGATTGCCGCCATCTTACTGAGTGGCCAGGCGCAAACAGCAGTGATGAGTGGACTGTACTCGGCGTACATGTACATGCCTACCCTCGTTAGTACGGTTTCAACCCTCCTTAGTAGACAATGAGCCAAAAAGCCCTGGCGCCTGAAACACGTACATTCAAGTCCGGATAGTAGATAAAACTTGTTATAAGACAAAGAATGAAACCCCCGGGGTTGTCGCCTAACGAGGGTAGACCTGTATTGCAATGATCTCGGCCTACTCTCTACCCACGGCTTATGTACAAGTATATGCCTGTTGTTGTTGTCCCGTGCAGCGCGTCGCATTATGAGCACAGTCCGTTGCCTGAGTACCGGCCTGACTCTGAACTACTCGTCTGACGGAAGTCTGACCGGATTCCCTGGGGAGCCCATCTACACGGAGGGTTTCAATGACACACGCCTCATGGTGGAGCTGGTCACCAACAACGAGACCAATTATATTGGAGGTAGGTAGGGAAAGGTACTACTAGTAGCTGGTGGCTTGGTGGGTGTGGGTTGGTGGGTTGGTGGTCAGTATCACACAGCAGGACTACAGGGGCGTCGGAAGGTATTTTACTGTGGTACGGTCAGCCAACTGAAGTGCAATTTACTCGGTGGCTGAGCCGAAAATTTTGAAAATTTAGGTCCCGCATCAGTGTATTTTGTTGATTCACGTGGTACCTGGGGCAAAAAGTGGTACGGTCAATACCGTAGTGACCGTAGCGTGTCCGACGCCCCTGGATTATATTGTAGGTAGGTAGGTGAAGGTACTACTAGTGGCTGGTGTGTGCATGCGCATGTGGCCCGGTGGGTGTGGGTTGGTGGGTGGTATCACACAGGTACTTTTCTGCATCCGTTGAAACGCCTCTACCCCACTCGATACACCGGCATCAAATGGTGTTGTTTTTGCTAGACTGACCCAGGGCTTTTGTGCTTTGATTTTATGATCCCCTTTCTAGCTGTTGTGTTTGATGGCATTGACGAGAACACTGCTGAGTTATCGCCAGTCATCAAGTACACTATTCGCTTGCACGACAAGGAGTCGACCAATAAGCGAGGCGGTCGCTATAGCTGGTACACGGACCGAACTTACCCGGTCGTACAGCTCTCCGGTATCTTCCGCTTCATGTAAGTGTGTGCCGAGATGCATTCACTGCCTTGTGTAGCGAGTGCTTGTACAGTGAAACCTAAGACGACCGCTCAAGGGACCTTCAGAAAGTGGTCCTCGTGTACAGGTGGTCTCCTTATCCAGGGTCATGTGACTGGAAATAACAGGTGGTCTCCTTATCCAGGTTCATTTGACTGGAAATAACCTCTCTTGATCCTAGTTGTAGTGGTCCTCTAGGACAGGTGGTCGCATTATCAGAGTGGTCACCTTGACAGGTTCTACTGTATGTACGTGCATGCAGCTTTCCTCTGTGGTGCCGCTGTCCCGGTGGATTTCATTTATCTGCTCGAGTCTCCTTGTACATGTAAACACTAAAGAAGTTGTTTGGAATGGAGTAGTCTCACATCAGTTTGTCATTATGAGTAAATTTATGTAGAAAGTGATCATGACATGTGGACAGTGGAGCCAACATGGCCGATGTCATGTGACCCATAGATGTAGGGGTTGAGTGGAGTTAGAACCAACATGGCTGACATCATGTGACCCATAGTGCAGGGGTAGAGTGGGGTTGGAACCAACACGGCTGCCCTGTATGGCCATGTGCCAGATGTGCAGCAGGCGCTATAGTCTCTAGGAGCAACTGCTCCGGTCTAGCCACAGCCCAGCATACTCCTCGGTCTCTGTGTAGTAGTGTCTTTGATGTAGTGTGCAGGGTGTCACCGTGTTACAATATCTTTTGCACACCCTGTCTACTTCCTGTGATAAGCCTGCTCACCGTGTCTTCTCTCGTTCTCTCCATTGCGATGCAGCAACTACGAGAAGACGTTCGTGCCGCTGCAGTACATTGTGGATCAGGCGGTCATTCGCTTGCAAGTGGAGGGCAATGCAACATGTCCTATGGCGGCCACGTGCCCGGATAGCCAGGCACAAGCTGCCGTCACCACCTGTTCGATCGTCGGGCGCGCCGAAAGCGGCAATGCCACCGGTGTAAGTACAGTACAGAGTGTGGTGCATGTGTTGTACAACCTTAATACATGTACTTAGGTGTCGAGCAACATGCTGCTGCTGCTGCTGTTGTTTCAAATCTTTATTCTCATGATGGTTGTTGTTGTTGTTGTTGTTGTTGTTGTTGTTGTTGTTGTTGTTGTTGTTGTTGTTGTTGTTGTTGTTGTTGTTGTTCACTATCAGTGGTGTGCAGTCATAGGGAAAAAACTGCCGGCGTCTCTCTTTCATGTCTTTCACTTTCTGCAGACGTGCTTGTTCAACGAGACGTCTCAAACTTTTGTTCGATGTCAGAACGTCAGCGTGTCTACTGTTAACTGCAATTGCTCTCGTCAGTTCACTCGCAACACACCCAGTCAGTATGGACTGTACACAGCCAACTGTTCGTGTGACAACAGCGCTGATGCGGTGAGATGCTCCATTATGCAGTAGAGCATGACTTAAGGTGGAATGCTCCCACAGAAATTTCTATAGGATACTTTTCTGGCATTTGCACAGGAAAGGTGATAATCTGGTGGTTTAGGATCAATTAAATTTGTGGGGGTTGTACAGATGGATTTTGTATAGAGATTTTTCAAGGTTGTGCCAACGGTCACTTTTTGGGGTCAAGTGCGAGAAATTTTTGAATCGCTGGTGAACAGGCGAAGCCCAGTTCACGTTCACTTTGTATGGGAATGGATGCGTGGAGGTGAAAGAAGCAGTAGAATGGCGCTCCACTTGATGTCCGACGCTCGTGTTGAGTCAGAGCGGTTGCCAGGAAGCCCTTCCATGGCTTGGGCAAAAAAGAACAAGCTTCAGAATCGCTCCAAGCGCTGGTGGAGACGAACCTGTCACATTTCGTATACTTATCAATGCATTTTGGCATGCGACATGTTCACCGCAATCTTGGGGTGATCGCCGGGGCGGTGGCGGGAAATGCGTCCTTGAAAAAGCTCTATATGCTGGCTAAAAAAATAGAATTTAGCGTTATGACACTGCACAGCCCCAAACCACTAAATTTGTTGATTACCACAGTGTTACTGAATTGTTACTAAGCTATCCGAACCACCCCTGCATCCAACCCTTGGCATGCTACAACCGCCAACTGTTGCAAACGTGGGTGAGAGAATACATAAAGTAAATTCAGTATAAATTGGAAAGACGATCATTGAAAAGAGGAAAAAAGCAGCTGCATCAGCATGCAGCTGCGCATCAAAATCAAATGTCTCTCTCTCTCTCTCTCTCTCTCTCTCTCTCTCTCTCTCTCTCTCTCTCTCTCTCTCTCTATTTTCCCTCTGTCTTTCTTTTGCCCCCTCCCTTCCACCCCACGCAGACTATGACATTCAACAGCACATGTCGATCTATTGCCAAGTCCACGACATCATGCTGTGGTCGATGCCCTGGTTCAGCTCAGCAGCCGACATTCCTGCCAGCCATTTTCAAGGTATGTCAATCACCGCTCTTCAGTGGTCTTTAGAATTCATGGCCAGACAAGGAATGTTTTTTTGCTGCTGCTGCTGCTGCTGTTGGACTTTTAAAGTTGCGGTTGTTCCTCAAGGTTTCACTAATGTTCTGACTGTCCGCTTCTTTAATTTCCTCCTCAGACGTTTCCGTTTCCGAGCTATTCCTTCGACACTCTGCTGATCCTCTACAGCAACCTGTACGGCTTCGTGCTGCTTTTCTGTACATTTGCCGTCGTCAACGCCACCGTCTTGGTGAGTTGTCAGAGGTGTGTGTGTGTGTTTTTGTTTTGTCACGTGTGTGATTCGGAGTGTGCTTGGCGACTGCTTGTGGTTGCTGTAATTCCGCGCATATAAGCCCACGGGCCTGTATTCCGATATAAGCCCACCTCCGTGTTTAAGCCCATGGGCTAATAAACAAGCACAAATGCGACTCGTGTGTCAAGTAGAATTGTTCACAATATATGGACTTTTGCTACCATGGTACAGCAGGTCAGTGTTGTTTACCAACACAGTACGGCAGACCCACTATGGCCACGGACTTGTACTTTTTTTTTTCGTGAGCCTTCAAAATTCGAATATTGGCCCTGGTCTAAAAAACGAACATTTCTTACTGGATATTTTACCCCCAAACTGCATTATTTCACATATAAGCCCATGGGCTTTCTGATTTGAACTTGTGCTGTTGTACTTGAATCCTACTGTAGATGACTGGGTGCAGTCACAGTGGTAGCGATCTTGTTCTGAGCTGTTTCGAATCTTACTGTCTGTGTTCATGCAGGAAGTGGTGACGGAGAAGGCCACGCGTCTGCGCGAGTCCATGCGCATGATGGGACTGCGTATCTGGCTCTACTGGCTGACCCACTTCCTCAAGGCGTTCCTGGTGCTCTTGCCCTCGGCCATTGTTGGAGAAATTGTGCTTCGGGTAAGCGGAGTGGCTACTAAGGCCAGCCATGGGGTCCTGGGTCGGGAGAAAGTTTGGGGAAATTGGCCCAAATTCACCATGTTTTATTGCTTCAAAATCACAAGATTACATCATTGACTTGCAGCTCCTTGGTCCTCTTTTCTTCTTATAAATTGAATTATTGGCGCGGCTTTGGCCGCACCTGCTGCACCGGTTCCGACGCCCCTGTGTAGGTGTTTGAAACTGTACAGTAGGGCTGCTTTCCTGAGGCTGTCTTCATCGGGTGTTGGTGTTGATGGCGTGTGTTTGTGTGTGTGTGTGTGTGTGTGTCGAGTTTTTGGCTCTCAAGTTGTGTGATTTCAGCCCCTAGCTCATGAAGCGTGTTGTTGTTGTTGTTTTAAATTCTATATTCTCACGATGGCACCATCGCCAATAACAGTTGTTGTTGTTGTTGCTGTTGTTGTTGCAGCAAGTGTTGTTCCCTGATACTGGCGCGGGTATTGTCTTCCTATGGTACATCCTTTTCAACATTCAGCTCATTTGCTACTGTATCTTCCTGAGGTAAGCTTTGAGATTGAAACCCAGTCATCTGAGTCCTGTGAAGGTGAAGTGTTGCAAGTAGCTTTCCTGTGGGTGCGTGTTGAAGAGGAGGAGTAGTAGGAGGAGGGTGTTGGACGGGTCTTATTTCTAGTAAACCTCTTTCCTTGCACATTCGGAATGCATGGTGGTGAACGCTTGCAGCTGCATGCTCTACGTGAGTATTATTGTGTGTGCGTGTGTGTCGCCTCCGGCGATGGGCGTCAAATGGTCAAATGGTGTGTGTCTCTTCATTCACTTTCATTCATAATTTTGAACGCTTATCGAAGGTTGCGTGTCTGTCTGTCTGTTTTGTGTCTGTGTACCTGTGTGCATGTGTGCATGCCTGTGTGTGTGCCTGTGTGTGTACATTCTTGTGTATGCTTGTGTGCATGTGTTCCAATGTGTGTTCCTGTGTGTGTGTGTGCGCATGTGCATGCCTATGTGTTCCTGTGTGTGTGTGTGTGTGTGTGTGTGTGTGTGTGTGTGTGTGTATGTGTATGTATGTTTATGTTCTTGTGCTTGTGTGTGTGTGTGTCTGTATGTGCTTGTAGTTCTCTCATTGACAGTCCCAAGTCCGTCAGCACGTGGGTGGGTATACTGTGGTACTTCACTTACATCCCGTTCAGTATTGCCGGACCGAACTTCGCCGGCCTGAGCAGGTTAGTCTATCAGCCTACAGTCATACACAGAAACTGTACCTGCATGACCCTGGCACTGCACACAGACAGACAGACAGACATATAGAGACGGACAGAATACCTGTTGTGGGGTTCGGCTAAGTGTTGTACGTAACTTGTGGATTTCCTAACTGCACCTATGCTGGTGTATGTCATTGCTTGGAGAATTAAGCTATTACTTGATGAGACACAGGCAGACCGAGGCAGACAGAGAGGGAGAGAAAGTGAATTTGTGTGTGTGTGTGTGTGTGTGTGTGTGTGTGTGTGTGTGTGTGTGTGTGAGAGAGAGAGAGAGAGAGAGAGAGAGAGAGAGAGAGAGAGTGAGTGAGAGTGTGTGTGTGTGTGCGTGTGAGAGAGAGTGTGAGAGAAAGAGAGTGTCCGCTGCACATTATTGTGACATAGGGTGCAGAACCTTGAAGTGCCGTCTTATGATCGCTTATGTGTAAGACTCTGAGTCACAGCAATAGAGGTTACATTTCCCTTCTCTATGCACTACCATGTCCCAATAACTGCGTCTACCTGGTTGTTTTCATCATGACCGACATGCTGTGCTCCCACAGGGGTATCAAGATACTCATTTGTCTGTTCCCGACAAGTAATGCTGCCGTGTTCGCACAGTTTACGGGAAACAAGAAGACCAACGGCGAAGGTGAGCTTTTCAACATGCAACATACTGTGTGTGTGTGTGTGTGTGTGTGTGTGTGTGTGTGTGTGTGTGTGTGTGTGTGTGTGTGTGTGTGTTTATGCGTTCCTCCTTCGGGAACGTTGATACTTTTTGGTTGCATATTCAAGTTACTATTGCTAAAACATCTTGAAGGGAAACTCCCCGTGGGGGTGCACCAGATTATGAATATTGATACATGACACTATCCAGACATGTTGTACCTTTGCACATGGGCATGTATTTCAGCTCTTAACAATGTTGGCATGATGTTCCGCACTGTCCTTGCAGCCTTGACCGGCGCAGCCATGAGTCAGCCAACGTCGATTGACGACGATTTCCGCTACAACGACATCCTGTTGGGCGAGTTCATCTCGATTCTCCTCTGTCTTTTGCTAGTGTGGTAGGTGGCTTACTGGCACCCAACTCGTTTAGTTTGATTTCGTCTCTATCAGGGTAGTGTGCATGCATTGCCTTCATGATTATCTGAGAGCGCTATGTTCCATGTGCTTGATTTTGATCACCTTGTGATGCTCCAGTCAAAAGTTGTGTTGCTCGTGCACTCTTGGTGGTTGAGTGGGTAGATATTCACACTTGATGTTAGTCTGCTGCTGCAGTACCTTGTATATTGTAAAAGCAGAAATTTTCTGCGGTGTAGTATTTTCGGTATTCTCCCAAATCGGCGGGTCGGCGGAGGGAATTTTTCGGTAAACCCGTTTTTCAGGTAAGTGTACTAGTACCGAAATTTTCAGAGCGTTTTATTCTAGGTAAAAATTGTCGGCACCGAAGTTACCGAAAATAGAACACCAACGTAAATTTCTGCTTTTACAGTATTCGTGTGTGCTGTGTGTTGTGTGTTGTGTGCTGCTACTGTGTATGTCTTGATTGTTAGGTACAAGGAGAACGCCTTCCCTGGCGAGTATGGTATCCCAAAGGTCTGGTACTTCCCCTTCACACGCTCCTATTGGTTTGGAGCACCGCCGCCAGGGGACGAGGAGGAAATGGTATGGTCACATCCATATGTAGAAGTCAGTGTGTGTGTGTGTGTTGTGTGTGTGTGTGTGTGTGTGTGTGTGTGTGTGTGTGTGTGTGTGTGTGTGTGTGTGTGTGTGTGTGTGTGTGTGTGTTCATGAGCCTTGCAAGCTGTTGAATGGTGTAGTCCCAGCACAAGTTGCTATGTCTAATATAGCTGTTCGCTATCATCGCTTCCGCGATGGGCAGGTCTGAGGCGTGTGTGTGTGTGTGTTTGGGCCAAGGAAAGCACAACCAACCAGGCTCTGCTCTTGCATATTGTGGTATGCCTTGACACCGTCATGTATGTGATATGGTATGGCAGAGCGACACTACATTGCACACTCATCTGTCTTCTTTTTCTGCATATCTACAGCTCCTTGCTGATACGGATCCAGACAAGAATGAGACTGATCCGAAAGGACTCAAGGCCGGCATTTCTATTCGCACCCTGCATAAGATCTTCAAGGTAGGTTGCTCATTTTGCTGCTGTAACTTTCTGTGAACCGGGTTGCGGCATGTCTTTGCCCTGTACCGTGTGTTGCATGGATTGATTTGATTGTGCGTGAGCCTCTTGCAACATGTAGTTTTCATGCGGGTTGACTTAGGCTGAAATGTCGCCCAGTTGACATTTCCGATTGCACTTGAAAAGTCGATTTCTCTGGCGTGCGTGCGTGTGTATGGTGTGTGTGTGTGTCCTGTGTGTGTGCGTGTGTGTGTGCGTGTGCGTGCGTGTGTGTACTGTATACTGTGTAGACGAATGATGGGCACAAGCTGGCAGTGGACAATCTATCGCTGAATATGTACATGGATCAGATCACCGTGTTGCTGGGTCATAACGGAGCGGGTCAGTCTTACTACAGTACTGCCAGGTTACAAAGACACTGGGCGATCAGCCTCTTTGCCTAGGCTGTTTTTATTTTGTGTGCGTGTGTGTGGGTGTGTGTGTGTGTGTGTGTGTGTGTGTGTGAGAGAGAGAGAGAGAGAGAGAGAGAGAGAGAGAGAGAGAGAGAGAGAGAGAGAGAGAGAGAGAGAGAGAGAGAGAGAGAGAGAGAGAGAGAGAGAGAGAGAGAGAGAGAGAGAGAGGAGAGGGAGAGAACTGACCGGCAACGATTCGTGTGTCATCTTGCTACAGGAAAGACAACCACAATGTCCATGTTAGTTGGTCTCTTCCCGCCAACCCGTGGTGATGCCATTGTCGGTGGGCATTCGGTCGTCACGGATATTGAGGGTGTTCGCCGCAGCATTGGTTTGTGCCCGCAGCACAACGTCCTAGTCGACTTGATGTCCGTTCAGGAGCATCTCGTCTTCTTCCTGCAGCTTAGGGTGAGTCACGTTGCTTGCTGGCCTCGCCAAGACTTGCTGTACTTTGTGTGCGCAGCCTGCCTGGGTGTTCATCTGGGCTCTATAGAGTGGTGTTCACATCAGTTTGTCATGTGACAAAATTTGTGCAGAAAGCGATCATGGCATGTGGACAGTGGAGCTAACATGGCTGACATCATGTGACCTGTAGATGCAGGGGTTGAGTGTAGTTGGAACCAACATGGCTGCCCTGTATGGGCATGTATGACGACCTTGGGTCAATATTCTAGTGAATCTCCAGGACATGTTGTTATTGTTTTGTTGGGACTTGGGACTAATCCAGTCTGTAATGTCATCAATGCTATTCAGGTATTCACCATGGTAGTGCTTGAATGTGGCAGAATGCGGTTACTAGTTGCACCAACTTCTAGAAATCGCTGATTCTCTTGAATCTCCTCTCTATCTCTCTCTCTCTCTCTCTCTCTCTCTCTCTCTCTCTCTCTCTCTCTCTCTCTCTCTCTCTCTCTTTCTCCCTGTCTCTCTCTCTCTCTCTGTCTCTCTCTCTCTCTCTCTCTCTCTCTCTCTCTCTCTCTCTCTCTCTCTCTCTCTCTCTCTCTCTCTCTCTCTCTCTCTCTCTCTCTCTCTCTCTCTCTCTCTCTGTCTCTCTCTCTCTGTCTCTCTCTGTCTCTCTGTCTCTCTCTCTCTCTCTCTCTCTCTGTCTCTCTCTCTCTCTCTCTCTCTCTCTCTCTCTCTTCTCTCTCTCTCTCTCTCTCTCTCTCTCTCTTCATTCTCTTCATTCTCTTCTTTCTCTATCTTGCTCTCCTGCTTTCTCACTATCTGCCCCGTATGCCTGTGTGAATTATGTGCATGTGAGCAGCAAGGACACGGTGGTGGTGAGAAACATGTCTCGGAGATCATCAAGGACTTGCAGTTGGTAGACAAATCAAAGTGGAAGTCATCAGAACTCTCCGGCGGAATGAAGCGCAAGCTCAGGTCTGTAGCTTATCAATGTCTTGTGCTTCCTGTCCTTACATGCTAAACCTAGGTAGGAAATGATTTGGCCTGGCTGGCAGCGGTCTCTCCTCGTACCGGGAAACGTCTGTCAGCTGTCATTCAAATTTCCTTTTCCCTCTGTTAGTCGTAGCGTGATCCGTTTCCAGCTTCATGTCATTTTGCCCGTTCTCATCACAATGAAGTATATTGGACAAAGGTAAACATGGTATACACTGCTTTGACCCATGGAACTCACTCCTACTGTTGTGTTGCACGTGTGTGGGCCAGGGATGTACTGGACACGAGCGCAGGTGATATGCAGCATCTACTGAGGGCTCTTTGCCAAGTTGTGGCGCTTGTTCTTTGTTGTTCTCTTGCCGCCGCTGTGTTCTTCTTTGCAGTGTTGGAATTGCCCTGATCGGGCATCCCAGCGTGGTGATTCTCGACGAGCCCACTGCTGGCATGGACCCATACGCACGCCGTGCTACCTGGGATTTGCTGGGCAAGTACAAGCGGGGCACCACCATGCTGCTGACCACGCATTTGATGTAAGCGCTTGTCACACGGATTCTGATGCTGCGTCAGCAGCTAATCATACTGATGTAATGCTTACATCATCGCATTGATTATGATGTCATATCGATGTGTTTCGTGGAGGGGTTCGTATTTCAAATATAATGCCAGTCGGATTGGGAGTATGCACTGGATGATCGACCCAATGGCAGGTGATCAGGGTGCTTGCGATGCAGACTGGGTGCACAGTGGTGAAGCGCGTGCAACATGTGCGCAAACCTGTAGTGCAGAATGGGTGTTGCACTGTGTGTGCATCTCGTAACACTGATGTTGCCTGGGCAACATCAGTGTATGGATGACATCACAGCATTGTGCCCAGCGTCTTTTCTAACACTGTTCAACAGTAGTTAAAATTGCATTCAGGGTTTAATGTCGCCAATGACTCAATCCTTGTGCAAGTTTTAGTATACTGTAGAGGCAGAAAATTTCGTCGGTCAATAATTTCGTCCAACTCCAAAGAAAAGGAGTTCGTCCGGTTAAAAATTTCGTCCAGGGATCATAAGAGTGTATAGAAAAGCTGGACAAATCGATATTCGTCCTACATTAAATTTAGTCCAAAAGCTCCTTGGACTAAAAAGACGAAATTAAATTCCAGCCGAATATTTCTGCTTATACAGTACTCCGACATTGCCCTTGCGGTGGTTCAAAGTCCAGGGTTGTCAGAAGGTATTGAACAGTGGTGCGGCCATGCAGAAAGGGGCGTCTGGGGTCCTCCCCGCGAAATTGTTTTTGAAAAAAGGCTCCAAGTAGCCCGTATGTTATTGCTATGTTATTGCTTCAAAAATCCCAGAAGATTATATTTAACAAGAATAAGCACTTTTGAGAAGAATATAATACAGTTTATGATTGGTCTGGCTAGAGGGCATTCCCTGTGGCTCAACCTGTACCGTACATGACTTGTCTTATGCAGGTGTGGGATACCCCCATGCTTTTTAGGTGGGCAAAACGCGTAGGGTGGATTTTCAAAATTTCCTTTTCTGAGATTATTGGTGCGGCTTTGGTCGCACCTGCCGCACTGGTTCCGGCGCCCCTAAAGTCATCATTACAGCTGATGCGTTAGTAGTCGCTAGTAGCTGCTTCGGTAATACTGTTATTTCACAAATTTTAGGTGTACTTTTATTTTCGGTACTTTCGGTGCATCTGTTTCATACCTAAAATTTCAATACACCGAACAAACACTAACACACGTAATCCAATAGGGAAGTGCTTCTCTGTACCTAAATTTTCTGTTCACCTAACCTGGCCTTTTGCCCTCATACCGAAAATATTGAGCACCTCAAATTCCTGAAATTAGAGTAATTTGGTTGTGCGCCTCTCTGTCTGCATTTTTGCCATTTTTGCTGGCAGGGATGAAGCTGATCTTCTCGGTGACCGTATCGCCATCATGTCCAAGGGAAGAGTGGTGTGCAGTGGATCATCACTGTTCTTGAAGAGCAAGTAAGACGCACATGTGTGTGTGTGTCTGTCTGTCTGTCTGTGTGGAGAGGGGGGGGGGGGGTACTTCTCTGCCCCATATGCTTCAAATTTCTCCTTGTCCACCTCCATGCCGAAACAAGTACAAGAAACAAACAACAAGTAGCAGTGCGCTATTGTGGTACACTTCCGGTCCTTGCTCCAGAGACATGTGACCAAGTTGGGTTCGCCGTACGAAGAGTTGTAGCAAGAGTCAAGACTCACGTAATCTTGGTGGTACTAAAATGAGGAGTACTTCCAGACCTTGCTTCTTCTTTCTGCAAGCCACATCGACACCACTGCACGAGCGAGAAACCCTGCTGCTGAACTCTGGAATCTTCAGATTGCGCAGCGCAATCTGCAGAATGCGCGGAACATATCTACGCGGTCACGTTCAGTGCTGATTTCGTGTACACTTTGCACGGTAGCACCAGGTTTTCGTGACATCATCATGTTCATTGTGGTCTCGAGTCTCTATGTTCCAAGTTTCAACGTTATACGGTACGTAGGTACCAATGTATGGGACTTTTAATGTACTCCTATCCACACTGTTCGAAATCGAGCGATGGACACCGTGAGGTTAAACTTCAGATTTAGTTTTGCGGTGGGTAGCCGGGTGATTAGTTGATGTGCAGAGCATTGGACTGTGATTGATATGTTCCATTTGGTGTTTGCGTCATAATTTTCTGTGTTTTCAGATTCGGTGTCGGATACCATATGGTATTGGTGAAGGATCACGAGCGCGAGTGTGATGAGGTGGCAGTCACCTCCAAGGTCACGTCCGCAGTGCCGGGCAGTCGTTTGGTGGGCAATGCCGGTGCAGAGCTGGCCTATGTCTTGCCGCAGGAGGCCTCCTCCCATTTCTCTGCACTCTTCACGTCGCTGGAGGGTATGCCATGCATGTGCCGTGTATTTCTTTGTGGTGGTGATGGGGGGGGGGGGGGGGGGGGGGGTTAGGGGCAGTTCATAATAACAACAAAACACTGCATGCTCCAGTGGTTATGATCAGGGACAGTTCACTTGAGTGAAAAAAAACACATGTTTTCCTATCTTTCAGTAATTCCAGGAACAGTTACCGTAATTCCACGCATATAAGCCCATGGGCCTATATCCGGATATAAGCCCACCTCCGTTTATAAGCCCATGGGCTAATAAACAGACACAGATGCAACTCACGTGTCAAGTAGAATTTTTCACAAAATGGACTCTTCCTACCATGGTACAGCAGGTCAGTGCAGTTTACCAGTAGGGTATGGTAGACTGACCATGAGCATGGACTTGTACTTTTTCGTGAACCTTCAAAATTCGAATATTGGTCCATGGGCTAAAAAACGAACATGTTTTATTGGATATTTTATCCCCAAACTGCATTGTGTCACATATAAGCCCATGGGCTTATATGCACGGAATTACGGTATTGTAGAACTCCCCTTATCCAGGCAGATTGGGACTGGTCACTGGTCACTGGCCGTGTCACCACAGTTGCTTGCCTCGTCCAATTCAAGTTGGTGATATGCTTGTGATAAATCTAACTTGGTAAAATTCACACCACCGGCTAATTTCTCTTGGAGCTCATCTAGAGTGGGCAGTGGTTAATGCTCACACTCCGACTTTTTACTGATCGTGGCCGCATAGTTACCTCAGATTCGTACCGATTTATCGGGTTTCAGCACAGGCATAGTTGGTAATGCCCATCGGGAATGCTCAACTTTCTCAATGACCCCCCCGCTCGAGCTTAGTCCGAGCTTCCTCGTCAGATTCACGCATTGAGAAAGGTATGGGTCGAGCTTTTTTTTGTGCAGAAGATTGGCTTGTCATCATTTACCCTTAGGTGTACTTTCAAAGTGGTCAATTTTACAACACACGACTCATCAAATAGGTTGGGAAATTTCTCGCACAGGCTAGCCAGTTTCACATTAAAAACTGCGTGCTGTCATTCAATTTCATTATTGATGTACCCGAGCCAATGGAAATTAAAACACTCGATCAGATCTCTACCGATAAGTGGTGGACCAGTGAGTACAGTTTGTAACCAGGCACGGTTGGTGGTGGAATTTATGGACATTTCAGCCTTTCCAGAAACATAATCACGAACATAGAACAGAGGTACAATTGGGTCGTCGTCCTCACCGGATTCATTTGGGGAGTTGGGACAAGGAGAGTTTCACTGCAATAACAAACCACAGCTGGTTAGGGGCGCTCAGTCAAAAGGACTTGGTCTGCAGGAGGCTGCAATACACCATTCGTCAGACGGTCTCAACCGAACCCATTGCCATTTCCCGGAATTCCAGACGGAAATGTATAAGTGGGTCACCGGAAGCGCTGGAGCACCCGAAGTACCGTCAGTACAGCCACAATGGACTTTGGAGCACCTTCTTCATCTTGTATTGAGAGTCTAGCTGTATGGGTATAGGCGATTCAGACTACGGCCAACTGTGACCACGTTTCCTCAGACGTGTTTGATCAGCGATTGTACAGTATCATTTGAAACATGACTGCATCACCATGGAAATTTAAGTTCGGACATGATTTTGGCCGTAGTCTGAATCGTCTATTAGACGAGAAGGCAGAAATGCCTGTGTACCTGATGAAGTACAATAAAAACAAACAAACAAACCTTCGGTTGGGGGATGCTGTCTGCCTGTCTCAAATCCCTCCTTGGTCGTGTTTTAGGATTTTGCATGTCTTTGTGTGTGCCATTGTTTTATGTGTGAATTGAAATGCAGAGAACCGGACCGAGCTGGGCATTCTCAGCTATGGCGTGTCAGTTACCAAGCTGGAGGAAGTCTTCCTCAAGGTCGGCGAGGAGGAAGGAATTGTTGCCAATAAGAAGTAAGCATAGTGAACACTCACTGCTGTTATTTGCAGTATAAACATTCAGAATATGCCACCATCTCCACCATCCTCTGATTATGGTGTCATCGTCGTCTTCAATTTGCGAGTATATGTGTGATGTATTCCGAGAGTATATGGGTGATGTATTCCGAGAGTATAATGTATTCCTAGAGTGCAAGAGACCCAGAGTGTGCAGCGAGTATATGGGTTGCTGTCATGGCGAAGTTCCAGGATTACATCGTTTTAGTGATATACATGTAGTGCGGAGTACAAGCAGGATTCAAGCAGATATCATGCTGCACGGCTGCAGCTCAGCTATACGCACTACGCCACTTCCCAGCACATATCTGTATAAACCCAGGTCTGCAGCTCAGCTATACGCACTACGCCACTTCCCAGCACATATCTATATAAACCCAGGTCTGCAGCTCAGCTATACGCACTACGCCACTTCCCAGCACATATCTATATAAACCCAGGTCTGCAGCTCAGCTATACGCACTACGCCACTTCCCAGCACATATCTATATAAACCCAGGTCTGCAGCTCAGCTATACACACTACGCCACTTCCCAGCACATATCTATATAAACCCAGGTCTGCAGCTCAGCTATACACACTACGCCACTTCCCAGCACATATCTATATAAACCCAGGTCTGCAGCTCAGCTATACACACTACGCCACTTCCCAGCACATATCTATATAAACCCAGGTCTGCAGCTCAGCTATACACACTACGCCACTTCCCAGCACATATCTATATAAACCCAGGTCTGCAGCTCAGCTATACACACTACGCCACTTCCCAGCACATATCTATATAAACCCAGGTCTGCAGCTCAGCTATACACACTACGCCACTTCCCAGCACATATCTATATAAACCCAGGTCTGCAGCTCAGCTATACACACTACGCCACTTCCCAGCACATATCTATATAAACCCAGGTCTGCAGCTCAGCTATACACACTACGCCACTTCCCAGCACATATCTATATAAACCCAGGTCTGCAGCTCAGCTATACACACTACGCCACTTCCCAGCACATATCTATATAAACCCAGGTCTGCAGCTCAGCTATACACACTACGCCACTTCCCAGCACATATCTATATAAACCCAGGTCTGCAGCTCAGCTATACACACTACGCCACTTCCCAGCACATATCTATATAAACCCAGGTCTGCAGCTCAGCTATACACACTACGCCACTTCCCAGCACATATCTATATAAACCCAGGTCTGCAGCTCAGCTATACACACTACGCCACTTCCCAGCACATATCTATATAAACCCAGGTCCGCAGCTCAGCTATACACACTACGCCACTTCCCAGCACATATCTATATAAACCCAGGTCTGCAGCTCAGCTATACACACTACGCCACTTCCCAGCACATATCTATATAAACCCAGGTCTGCAGCTCAGCTATACACACTACGCCACTTCCCAGCACATATCTATATAAACCCAGGTCCCCCGGAAGCAGTTTTTAGTTGGTCCGGTAGTATCGTGACCTTTCAAACAGTTTGCGTATGACATGGCGGGTAGGCATGCCCTCCACGCTAGTAAACATATGTTGGTGGCCACAACGTTGGTCCGGTGGTAACCTAACCAACGGGACTAGTTCCGGCGGGCCTGCTACCAATTATATTGATAACAGCATAGTTTCGCCGTGGCGGACGCCCATGCAGAAAGGTCAGAGGCTGTACACTCTGGCTTCCGTGTACTCTTAAGTCTTATGCATTCCCAGTTGTCACTGCGGAATGATGCACACACACACACACATCAAACACGACTAGACACATGGACCGTGGTATGGCTTGTCTTTCTTTGCTTTCCAGGCTGCAGAAGTTTGAGGAGCGCCAAGCAGCAGCGGGCCCTGACTCCACAGCCACGCTATTGCTGGAGCATCAAAAGCTTGGCAATGTCGACTCTACCGCTACCACGGCAACCATCGACCAGGGATCGCCCACTGCCAAGGAGTCCGGCCTTGTTGCTGACGGTTTGACAGAGATCGACGAGAATGGCACCGCCAATAACGGCACACAATCTGCCGCTAAGGAGATATCGGCACCACCAGCCAACAGCGGCAGCGCGAAGGGCGCGGGGGGTGCACGCAAATCCGTGGTGATTGAGCGAGAAGCCCGGCCTCTGGAAATGCTCCGTGCCGACTATCGTAAGATGCATAGCTCTTCAGTGAGAGTTACTCATGACAACAACACAACTAGACTATTTCTAGAAGTTTTCAAGTTTTCTTTACTCACACATCTATTACTGATTTTCCGTAGACGGAGTGGAAAAATGTCGCAAAACTACGCAAAATAGCTCAGGCAGATTGTGAATCATGTGTCGCAGCCGCATCTCGTTGAAGGTGTTGTGTGCCGTGCATCACATCGCAGAAAGTGGTACATGTATTGTGACAGAGAATGTTGTTGTGTGAATACTGCTATCGACACCCTATCGTCAACGGTGTTGTTTTCTTCCGTGTTCCTGTAGAAAAGCTGACCGGTAGAGCTCTTTGGCAACACCAGTACAAGGCAATGGTCATCAAGCGCATGCTCAACGCCAAGCGCAACTACTTCTACAACGCTCTCACGCTGCTCGTGCCCGTCATTCTGACCTGCTTCTCGTTTGGATCCCTCATCGCCAGCCCCAGTACCAGTGCCGA